CACCAGGCTTTTGCTAAATAACATAGATTAGTAAGTCATATTCTGCTAGAAGACACAGATCATAGGCACAAGGTCAGGGAAACTAAAGGGCAATCTTTAGTTGTACAAAAAAGAGAAAGCATTATAAAATCAACAGTTATAATTTATTTTCATTCTTCATTTAATATGTAAAAAGAAGAGAAATACATTATCTTCAATATACAGAGGTGTGAACTATTATGCACCATCCCAAAAAAGCATTTGTTCTACAGGGATTGGTTGCTAAAGAAACTCTGTAATTACAAGCTATTTGTACACAGGGTCAACTGATATAGACAGCACTTTTTAGTAATAAGGGTTATAAGGTTATCATGCAATGAAGAATTTTCAAGTTCTTTTTTTTTTTTGAGATTTTTGAGACAAGAGTTTCACTATGTCACCCTCAGTACAGTACTGTAGCATCACAGCTCACAGCAACTTCAAACTCTTGGGCTTAAGCAATTCTCTTGCCTCAGCCTCCCAAGTAGCTGGGACTACAGGCCCCCACCATAATGACTGGCTATTTTTATTATTGTTATTGTAGCTGTCACTGTTGTTAGGCAGGACCAGGCTGAGTTCGAACCCTCCAGCCCCAGTGTATGTGGCCGATACTGTAACTGCTGAGCTACGGGCACAAGTGAATTTTCTAGTTTTTAAGGACACTAACCTGTGACAACTCTGGAGTTTTTCACAAGGTCCTTTGGCTAGTTCTTAAAACTCTGCTTAAATTGTGTAAGGGGAGGGGAGCTTGACAAAATTAAGGTGGTCTTCTCTCATAACTTAGAAGCTAATGCTGCCTCCCAACACTCCCCCCAAAATAATAATAATCAATTGTTAAGAGGTTCATTATTTAATCTTATGTTTACATATGACAATCTCTTGTCTATCAAGCTGACAAAAGATAGAGATTTCTCCTCCAGACTATTCTCTGAAGGTGCCTTTCGAAAAGCCTTGTCTTGACTGTTCTTTGTGTGATCCAAGATACTATCAATTTTAAGTTTCATTGTGTTCTTTTTTTTTTTTTTT